AAGTGGTTCATGTATTATTACCTTAGAAAACCATGACAGACAACCGTAGAATATCACTCTCGTTGATACAGTCGTGGATTTGGAACACGACGGAACGTGTGGAGGCTCTCGTTGTGGCATGTTGGACAGTACCTACTGGTCTTGTACTCGTCTATAAGAAAGACTTGGAACTCATGTTTCTTGAGGAGTCTTCGGAAACCAAGGTCACGGATGGGCTCATAATACCTACCATGGGGAGTAGACCAGTTTCCTATCACAAACACGGCGTCTTCTCCAAATTTGGCGCGTAAGTCTTGGATAAGCTTTTGATCGGCACGTTGCTTGTTGAAGTACGCCGAAAGGCGGACCTTGCGAAAGAGGGAGTATCCATTATCATGATTTGTGGTGGTATGTCCATAGAATCGATTGAGAACGGCACGCTGTTCAGATCTGGCTTGAAGGAAGCGGCCAAAGCCTTCTACGGATACGGTGCTGCTTGGCTGTTGGGAAAGGGCTTGCTCGGCTTGAACGACATCAGAATTCTGGACTTTGAGGCCTTACAGCGCTATCCATAGCAAGATAATACCATTTCATATGTGGGCACTGATCCATTTCATCCATTGTGGCCTTCAGAAAGCTAAAATAATGACCAATTACTGTCCCTATGCTCGTTAGCTCAACATAACCTTTTCTCTTTCTTTTCTTGGCTGGTGGCTGCGGTAATCTCAGGCTACACTTTATTAATCCTAAAGCAGAAATCGCACCTAAAATCGTTGTTGTTTGTGCTCGGGTTTTGGGCACTGTGACCACAGCAGGCAGTCCTTTTTTTGACCAGGCCATACTACATTTTAAATTAATATGAAACGCAGACTCATCGAGAAAGACGCAATTAGTTTTAAAGTCCATGTCTGTACACTCCCACCTATGAATCCAGTCAAAACACTCCTGAATTCTTTCTTCACTGTTTCTATCTACGGACTGAAATTGGGCTTTTTTGAGTGACAAATTACATTCAGTTCTTACAAAATTGTAGACAGTGCTTTTAGAGACCTTGAGATCCTGAAACTTTTGGACTAGTCGCTCCACTACTTACTCCAAGACGGATGAAGGATTTTCATTTATATACTCCAAGATCACTTGCTTGTGTTCTTCATGAAGTATACGCGAGCGACCGGTTTTCTTATGCTTTATAAAAACACTATCAGCATCCGTTTTGTACATTTGAGCCCATCTTTGAGCTGTGCGAACATGAATACCTAACTGTTTTGCAGCAGCTGAAGCACTCATAACTTTCACAAACATCAGTTTAAAGAATCTAACTTTGTCTTGATCCGTATAGAGTGCGTACGCTCGCTTACTCGACGCCTCCTTCATACAAACATCTACATCATGTTTTGCATCTTCATCGGCCGTAGAGGCTACGACGAAATTTATTCTCCTTAGGCTGGTTATACAAATACTGAATGTATGAACTAGCTGTTTCTAGAGCATATCGCTCCTCATCAATAATGTAGCCCATAGGCTCAGGTCTACCGTATTAAACGACTGCATTACCGTGCCCGTCTTCATAGAAAATTTTGAAAGCTCATATTGTAACACTTAGTTTTTAATGAAAAAGAGAGCTGACGGTGCTTTCATGCCTAATATACTCATATTTTGTACGACAAAGCTTCTACATATACGAAATCAACCAATGGTTAACATGACATTAGAATTTAACAAGCGCGAATTTTACTCTTGGCATCAGTGTCAATAATTTTTGGAAATACAGTATAACAACCCTAAAAGAGTGTGCTGATCATCTCTCCATCCTTCATGATCCTTTTCCTGTCATATCACAAAATATTCATTTAAGAAATAGCTCCGTCGCTCCAAAGAAAGAATAACAGTTTATCATTGGCTCATTCCCTGTGCAAGCTTATCATGGAAGAACCGAGTATGGCTCAATTATATCATTATAGAATTAAAAAAAAAGCTATTCAAGTGTGTATACTTTTTTAATTGGATAAGTAGGTTTAGTATGAAAGAATGTTTAAGTTTGATGTAGTGTTTTTTTTTTTTTTCTTTTTTCTAGCTGTCACTTTCGACCTCCTTTTTTTGGTAAAAGACTGCATCTGCTACACCCCCTTTTTTTCAGGTGCTCATGCCTTATTCCAAAAGATAGCAAGCACGTGGCACTCCTTGAAGCAGTAAAAGAATGTAAAGCACAAAATATGACTATTCTTTATCACTCATGAATCAAAATGCTGGTCTGTGCACTTTTTATCTTAAAGTCGCTCTTAATACATGTCAATTTAAAAAAGATGAACGACATATTCTGACTTGAAAAATATGGTAAATGACACGTTTTGTGCCTCAAACGAGAGACAATCCACTCACTGTACAACCCAAAGGATAACAGACAAAATGATTCAAGCATAAAAAGTGTCTCTCCTTTTGTTACTATAATCAAGAGGTGTGAATACAGGGTTCAAATGGACCAATTGATGATGAATAGAGAAAAACGCCCTTGAGCCAAGAGAGAGATGAACATTTTTGATCGTTGCATTTTAAACCCAGAAGAATAGACGACAACACTGTTTATTTTTATCACTCTTTCTTTATTCTTTTTATTCTTTTTATTTGTCGCTTTGGATATGACTCTGTTTTCAAAGTTTACAAAACACGGCAATAATGAAAAGACTATACACCCTTGGTCACAACGTAAATTGAATGGAAGTAATGCTGCATTACCAAGATTTGGTCATGGAGCAACCATGGTTGACAGCCAGTACCTTCTTGTCTTTGGTGGATATCATAAAGGCAACACCAAGAAGAATTTATTTTTAATTGATACCAGTAATAAATATACAAGTTCAATTTAAACATATAAAAACCAATTTTTGTTTAGACACGTTATCTGCTACGTCAATACAAGCTACAGGCGATATCCCTTCTCCAAGGAGTTTCACAGCTATTACCTGCATTAATGGACTCGTCTTGTGTAAAAACAGAGAGAAAAAAAAATATATATTTCTATGTTAATGTTAATATGGTACAATTTCCTTTTATGTTAGTGTTTGGCGGTGAGCCTATTATAGCTGGTGATCAATGGGATTCTGAATTGTATATTTTATATACCAGTAAGTCAATAAACATAATATTGTTTATAGATAATCATTCTTGTACGTAGATTCAAAACAGTGGTCAAAAATTAGAGTAAACAGTGATATGCCTCGTGGTAGATCTGGACATACAATATCAGCCCATAATGGAAAGATGTACGTCTGGGGTGGACAGCACCAAGGTCAATACTTGAATGACTTGTTGATCTTTAGCTTGAAAGATTGTAAGTTGTACGTCAAAAGTAAAGGTGATGAGTATTGATCTTTTTTTATCGCGTCAATAGATCCAGCAAAGGCAGAGTGGGAGTTTGTTCCAAGCACTGGCCTTGCACCATCTCCACGAGCTGGACATATCTCAGTTGTCTATGACAACAAATTATACATGTAATACAGTAATACAAAATGTTGTGTATGTGTTTGTGTTTATGTACTCATTTTATTCCTGATAGCTTTGGTGGTATTAATGCTAGTCACTTGTATAATGACATATGGTGCCTTGATCTCGTCACACGAGTATGGTCTCAAGTTGAAGCTGTTGGCTACATACCAGCACCTAGAGAAAGCTGTGCAGCTGCGTTAGTAGATGATACTATTTACATATTTGGTGGGAGAGGCTTAAACGGTTTTACATTAGGTGACCTGTACGCTTTTCGTATTAAAAGTAAGCTCGTCATTTAAAATGACAACACTGTATGGACTTTTTAATCATTATCATCTAGGCAGGAGATGGTACACGTTTCAAAATATGGGTTCACCTCCTTCAGCTAGATATGGAGCAACCTTAACTCTCAATCAAAACAAGATCTTTGTGTTTGGTGGGGATTCTCTTTACGGCAAAGTAGACGATGGATCATATGTGTACATTTTAGATTGCTGTAAGATGTGTTTCCGACTTACGAATCCATAAGCTAATCCTCTATCTTTTTTTTTATCTTTTTTTTTGTAGCCAAAATAAAATACCCTCCAGAAGAAGTACTAGAGAATGAACGAAAAACTCCTATTCCCCGACATTTAAATCCACCAGGCATTGTGCTGAATGATACCAAAGAAATCTTAGCTCCTCCGTCTCCAAGTAGACTAGAATTACAAGCACCTAATATCCCTCAGATGCAGCAGGTAATATTTCAAATGAGATGATATCATGACATAGTTCCCTTATTATAACTATCTGTCCGACAGTATACCATATTACCAGACAGACCAAGCAAAGCTGAAGAATGCCTGGACCGACGAATGTCAACGTCAATCGCAGGAAGCACCTCAAGCAAACAACGACCTTATCAACAGTCTGCTGTACTATCACCAACACCGCCACCACGTCCTCCTCGGGAAGGAGTGATGCTGAATATACCAAAACGAACCTCTGATCCTGATTCGGAAGATAAGAGTAGACTACTGAGAGAGATCATGGCTCGCGACGCAATTATTACAGAGATGCAGAAAAAGGAACAGTGGTGGCGTACGGAAGTGTCCATTTCACGGCATCTACGGGCTCGTCTAGGAGAAGAGTTTATGGATGATGTATCAGCACAGGAAGCAGCACTTTATTCCTTTGAGGACGATGACAGCAAAGATGACAAGCTGCTATTGTTTGAGCAGCTTATCAATTCAAAGACTGAGGTTCGAAAAATTAAGAATACTATTGCCAAGCAATCAGAATTGTTATTCCAAAATTTGTTGAAAGCAGAGAAAATAAGAACCGTTGCTCTGGAAGAGGCCTCATACTATAGATCCAAGTACACAGCCTTGAAAGCGAAGGATAAAACGGCTTTAGGTCTGCTGGAAACAGACCGGGTCGAATTATTGGAGAAAAGATTAAGAGACGCTTATGCACAAAGAGACAACATCAACATGATGCTATCCAAAGTTCAAAAACAATCTCAGGAAGACCAAACAGCAAGACTGCTTGCAGAAGAACGTGCATCGATTGCACAGAAGCAATCTGAAATGGCCCAGGAGGCTCACCAAGCAGCGCTTGAGAAAATATCTAAATTGTACAGCCAAATACTGAAAGCCGAGTCAAAATGTAGAGATGACGCTATATACATTGCTGATCTGTCAAATAAGCTAGCTACTCAGCTCTCACTAAAGGATGGCGATACAGACTTGTCTGAAATTCACATAAAAATGGTTCATTTGGAAGCAGCGAATATCAAATGTCGAAGTGAAGTAGCAGCTTTGTTGAAGCAAATAGAAGAAAATCAAGATGAACAAGAAGCTCTGGAGGCTTTATTGGGAGAAAAAGATCATGCTTATGCAGAAACTTTACTTGAGCTCGAAAAGGTTCGTATTGAACTAGAACTAGTAAGGAGAAGCACACCGAACGACATAGATGGTAACACACAAGCATCAAATGCTTGAATAAAACACTTCTTTTGATTTTTCTGTCCTCCTCCGCTATTTCTACTTTATTTCCAAGCACATTGAAATTAATTGGTACATACTTTTCAATTTTACGGATACAGTACTGTAATTTTTACAGCACTTGGCTATAATAGATTTATATTCTTTATCATGTCTCGCTCAAAAATATCATACGACGACAAATGTGCTTGAATTAGCTGTTACATCTTGGATAAATTCACCAAAAAAATGAAGATAGACCAAACTTCACTTTCGCTTTTTCATTTAAAACGGGCTACAAAGCTGCATAAATAGGTCACTTTTTCAAATTAAAGGATTGTCGTAGTTAAAGTAAAAACCAACAGGAAATGTACCAATAAAAATAAAATAAAATAAAAAAAAAACACGTAAATGAAAGTTTGCGTTTGTTTACCTTTTATATAAGTCTTTATAAATTCTTGCCCTTTTGTTATGTTACAACAAAGAATTTAAAAGGATTACAAATTTTTACTCTTGTTTTGCTGAATAAAGTGAGATATGTGTGGTTATTATGTTAAATGTTTTTATTAAGGATTATAACGTTTATCAAAAGACTCATTTTCTGTTCGTTTTGGCATTTATTCATGGGATAGTGATAAGATTAATCCTTTTGTGAATGAAAAAATAGAAGAGGTTCGAATCTTCTAGTGTTTTTGCAAGTAATGACCAATTTCTATACAAAAGAAAGTCTTTTTTTTTTTAATTTAAAAGAATGCAGTATTTATGAAATTTCATAGTTGATGTCCCGCTATGATCACACGTGGTAAGGTAGTATCGATCTTCGACTAAATGTAACGAGGATAACGTATGTGTTACACGCCGTAACAATAGGCTTGAGTGACAAATTTGCATCTGACAAGCAGACAGATGACCTTATCACAGCATCTCTTAATACCATGGCCTATATAGATAATCATATAGAACTTATGTAACAGGAAGCAGCTAACCATAATGGTTATGCTTTTCTCTTTCTTGATTTGATTGTTAGTTACTTTATTTCCTTGGTTTATCATTTATGATTCGCTTTTTTAATAGATTGCTTCCTCTAGTGCACTTTATATAGAAAAAGTAAGAAAGACAACAGCAGAAAAGATCATGTATAGATATTTCACTGTATTGTAAATAGAAAAAGAACAGTTAGGATAAGGGCAAATAGTATGTTTAAAGTCTAGTATTGCTTTTACGTTATGTCAATTGTGTGCCTTATTCATAAGCATAACTTAGCCAAAAAAAAAA